GTAGCCATCTTGTTTCTTTTGCCTTAAACAAAGCTGTCTCTCCTTCTAGGGCACTAAAAGTGATGTTGAACAGACTAGGATACCCTCTCCTGAGAAAAGCACTGTCTTCTGTATCAATCCGTTTAGTTGCTTCACCAATCAGAAATATCAGTCTCTTTAAGAAWCATAGTCTAGTTAGGAACACAATACATTTACCATTTGTAAACAAGACAGTTAAAATGAGTGCATCCTTTATAGGTTAGTCTTTACAAGTGTGCAAAATATCTACAATGTATTCTTAGTCTTCTGTTTGTTTGTTGTTTTTTTTTTCCTACATTGTACAAGGTAAATTCCACACAAAACTCATTATCAAGACAACATTATGAGTTGCTGTATCATATGTTATAATCTTAAAAATATGGACATTTCATTGTTCAATCACTACACTGGTTCCAGAGGCTTGTCTTTTATTCTTTTGCTTACTATGTTATCGAGCCATAAAGCATTGAGACGTTTCTGTTAATCAGTTTGTTTTTAGTACCCTTTTTCCAGAGGTTTTCTCTTCCTTTCTAGATGTTTTTTTTTTGGTATTTATCATATTTTTTCTTTGATTTTAAAATTTTAAGTCATTAAATTTAAAAAGCAAAGTCAAAAATGTGATAAATACATCTAGAAATGAAGAGAAAACCTCTGTTCCATGATAAATTCAATAAAAATGACAATTTACCTTAAGAAGTAAATAAATAGACAGTACAACTAARATTGTTTCCCCTTGCCAGACATCTTGGGAATAGAATTATTATTATTATTTACATGGACAAATACTAAGGCTACGTCCTCAAACTTGACCGGCCCCGTGTGAACGTAGTCTAAAATAGACTCTGAGAATATATAATTCACCTATCAGTAGCTTTTATGTGAGAATATTTTKCTTGGTGTTTTAGCAAACGGGCCAGTGATATTCACATCTGAGAAAGGTGGGAATGACGTGGAAGGTGATGGTTCCTTTCAAAAGCCATATAAAACAGTTCTGAAGGTATTTTCAATTAATAAGAATTATTCATRAAACCCTCTGTGTCAGGAAGAGAACCCTCAACTAGTTTGAATTGAAATTTAAAGTCGTATGCAAATCAGTACAAATCTCTTGCTCATAATAAGGATATGGTCACTGCAATGATTTGCCATTGTGTTTACTTTAAATGAATTATTATGAATTTGATAAAAAAACTATTGTAATACTGTTGTATCCTGCAATATCCTTGATTTTCAAGCAATCCTACATGAGAGAGAACACAAACAAACAAACAAATAACCACTGATCAAAGTATTGGTTCTCCTTTCTACATAATACCATCATGACAATAATTATAAAATTTACCCTACAGTAGATCTAACAGTTAGAAACCAAGAATATAATTAGTACCATGAAGTAATAGAGTATTCTGTCATGTATTACAATAGGCTTTGGGTGATGCCGATGGCATGGAACCTACACCAGCCATAATGGTCGACAGCAAAGATGAAAACGAGAGRTTTGAAAAGATTGCTAAAGCTCAGTTGAAGAAAATGACAAAGCTATATGCTGCAGATAAAAGAAAATCAGAAGAAAAAGAGCGAAAAGAGGTACAAAGCTGTACATGTGCATTRTGTTTTGGATTTTCTACATTATTTTAAAGTGTGATATTATGACCTATGTTTCTAATCAATAATTAAACATAAATTTGATGTATTTCTGTGTATAATAGGAAGAGAAGGCCAAGCAAAGAGAGAAAAATTTGGAAGAAGCCAAACAGATTGTTATTACACAAGACGCAAGTTTACCTGAAGCTAAAAGAGTAAGATATTTTAATATTGTTCATTCATGTGTATGTAGTACATGTTTGTCACTTACTGCCATTTGGGTGTTGTAAAGGTTCTTGCTACAGCCAAAATCTTTAAACTTGTATTATGTACACTATATTCTAAGACCAATGTATAATTTTTATTACAGTCTTTGAGGCACTTTATTTATAAGCAAACAGCTCTAATTATGGGCTGCTTTCCAAAACCCCMATTTTTTTTCTTCCTATGCAAACAAGTGTATTCACACTCCCTCATTAGGCAGACAGTTTTTCCATTTCTCTACTGGAGATTAAACCAGGGTCCGTGCAGGTCTTTAAATTCTTGAAAACTGCTTGAATTGAAAACTCATTTTCAAGGGCACTTGAAACTCCTTGAAAATTTGAAAATTTCGGAAAAGTCCTTGAAAACTCCTTGAAGCGCTAGCAATCTCTGAATTATTCCGTTAGGTTGAAGTTGTGAGGTAAGAATGTACAATTAGCATGATTATGATGTACCTTGGATATACAATTTTGAACCTTGGAAAGTCCTTGAAAAGTCCTTAAATTTCGTGTTTGATAGTCTGCACGGACCCTCTAAACTGATGTTACTGTCATTAACATACATGTACAGATCATAAAGTAGTAGGCAAGTAGTAGTCGTGTTTTAAACCTTATGTGGATATAAACTGTACTCTATATCTTGGATTGGACACAATGTATTGAGACACAATAAGCCATAACCAGTAAAGTTCCTTTAGAAAAAGTTGAAATATTGTGGCATGTTCTAGTAAAATAACCCTTCAACTATGTCAAGACTCCATGGTTGTGCTTCCATGTTGTTTACAGTTGAAAGGGAAAAGAATTTGTGACATTATTAAAAGATATAGAAGACTTTAAAATTTTCTCCTRTGTCTGTCGGAGTGTCACAACAATAAAAGTAGTAGTGTACTTGCTTTTTCATTTGAATGTACTGTATGTTGTTTTTGATATAAGTGTATTATAAATAGTATTTGTCAGTTATTGATCTAAAGAGCAAGGTTGTTTATCAATTTTGATTTGTTATAATTTATTATTTAGATCAAAATAAGAGACACCAAAGCCAACCGTGACCAAAGAGTGAAGATCTATGGCTGGGTTCACAAACTAAGAAGACAAGGTAAATAAAAGACCTAATTTATATATCTATTTATCAGAAAACAAGTGAAATATGCCAAAGAAGATGGAATTGGTTTGGGCATATACTTGGGGAGAGTGACAAGAAATGACTGTTTGACAGCCTTGGAGTGGCCACATGAGGGAAGCAGGCAGTGCATGCAAAGATAACATGGAGGACGACAGTACTAAAAGAGCAAAAAGGGACAGAGCTGGGTTGAAAAGTAGAATTTAATTTTAATTTAATTTATATGTGTCTTGTGGCACGAAAAGAAATAATGATTATGTACATAGAAAACAATATAATATCTAATGGAAATTAGTCTACAATTTCAATAATCAAAWTATTTTAGTTGCATAAATTCATGTATCTTTTCCAGGAAAAAACCTTATGTTCATTGATCTCCGTGATGGTTCTGGTTTTCTACAGTGCGTCTTGGCTGATAAACTGGTGAGGATGACATATGACATATTATAACATATTATTTAGCAGTAATAATATCTAATAGATATCCTATGTGTACTGCTTTCATAGTGCCATACTTATGAGGCATTGCTGCTYGCGACTGAGTCGTCTGTCTGTCTTTATGGTGTGGTCAAAGCACTACCAGAAGGAAAAACAGTAAGTGACAGCTGTTATTGGTAATGTACAGTACAGAAACCTGAAGTCTTTAGTCCCTGAATAAAATAATTGGTAGGAATGCTCTACATGTAAGGATGGATTAAAAAATGACTCTAAAAGATATGCATGAATTATGAAGGTATCGATTCCAGACCCTAAAAGGTTTTTAAAACTTTAGAAAATCAATGTCAATAGATTGTTGAGGTTAACAAAATCTATTTCTTTGTAACACTTCTTCAATTTTTTTTTGATGTTCAAACCTTGAAAGGTACACAAGGGTTTTTTTTTACCTTTAAAGGTCCGCCGAGCATACCTACCAACTTTTATAATGGAGCCCCCCCCCCCCCCYCCCCTGACTGCAACCCCCTCCCCCCCTCCCCTGACTACAATGCATGTACATGTAGTCCTCTCAGGATGAGTTTTGTATATTTTTGTCGCTTTCCATCACACAGCACAAATCATCTTCTAAGAACTAATGTCAGTGCAACAATCTGTCATAGTACTCAGATTAAATGAAGTTTGCATATACATTATATATACATTTAATTAGTTTTTAGACTCTAATATGCCTAGYACTGTACATGTGTGTGTTAACTCAATTTCTTCCCCAGGCTCCTGGTGGACATGAAATGTCAGTGGATTACTGGGAACTAGTTGGTGCATCTCCTGCTGGTGGYGTAGAAAATCTTTCATCAGAGGTGTGTTGGGCTCCCTATGGTTGGCATGATAGTTTAGCATATAGTTTAGGTTGGGTACTAACTGTGTCTGTTTGTAGGAGTCTGGTATTGATACTCAGCTGGACAACAGACACATCATGATTAGAGGAGAAACAGTAAGAATCTTTTTAATGATTTCTTTGTACYCTACTCCTTTGATCCTGCCAGTTCAATGTGGTAGTAGGCCTTGGTTGTGTACTCCAGTTTTGAGATCTTATTTGTGCWGCCTTAACCTCAAATCATGCAATATTATCCTTTTTTTCAGCAGAGATCCTATTGTAATACTTTGCGTAAAAATAATAATACAATAAAAATTCATTCTTGATTGAATCTAAGCTTGCACAAAAGAAAATTGGAAACTGGAGTATTACCTCTATTCCTCAGATTCTTCAGCTACTGTGTTTTCTGAGAGAACACTTTCTATATTCTGGTAGATGGTGAAATTGTCTTGATTAACTGAAGACAAGGCTCARGGGAAACAAAMTATATTATATATTATTTCCATTAGYCTCATCTTTAATTCWTTTGTGTGTAGACAGTCAAACAGGATACTGAAAGTGTTTTTTTTTTTCATGGATAAAATTTAACTGTGACAAGAAATATTTCATATATTATTTTCTCATTCTTTTCCAGCTGTCTCGGATTTTACGCATGCGTTCAGTAGTGACGCAATGGTAAGACATTCTTTTATGTTAAAAATGTGCTGATATTTATACTGGTATTGATATCCTTAACATTCTTTTAATTTTCAGTTTTAGAGAGCATTTTTTTGACCAACACTATGTTGAGGTAATTAACTTTAATTATAGCAAACTGCATTCTTGAATTCAAAGCAAATCTCTTTCACAGAGCACAAAGATCTTTCCAAACATGAAAGGGAGCACAAGAAAATGTTGCAAGTACAATATAACGCTAACAACATACTTTTTTCAAAGCTGTGGCTAATTCTGTATTCTCAGAAGGCTTACAACCTTAGGTCTTATGGGAATACAGGGTTAGTCTCAACTTAGGGAAAATGGAAATTTTCAAAGCTATTGTAATAACAACATTTTTCATGTTCCCTTTTTTGTCTGGTAAGAGAATCTGTTGTCAATAAAACCATCGTTTTTTGCTTTGAATTTGAAAATGAAGTGTTGCTGACTATTTACTGCGATGCAAGTAATTTCCAGCTGGGTAGGTTGCATCAATCGYCTGGCAGTCTTACTTTTTGGAACAATTTTTATGTGCTTACAGGCAGAAGGCTGTGGTGTAAATTTCTTAGTCAGTCTTGTAAAGTCTGTACTTTGTTAAACCAGAGCTACAACATTGAGATTCAAGCAATAGAAACTCATGCAATGAAACCTGGAAAAAAAAAGAAAAAAAGAAACCTGAAAATGAAACATACAATGTAGATTTGACTCTAATACCAAAAACAGTGTTAGCAAATGTATTTACATGTACACCATTTTAATTATGAATCACTTTTTCCCCTCAGGTGACCCCTCCATGCATGGTCCAAACACAAGTAGAGGGAGGCTCTACTCTCTTCAAGTTTAACTACTTTGGTGAAGATGTAAGAACTTTAGCTGGTTTGTTGTAATATAAATGAAATTCTGATTCCCTTTGAGTGGAAGAATGTCTTTACAAAATTCCTGATCCAAACAGAATACCTTCATTGCGTACACGTATCATTAAACAGTCGAAAACCAAGGGTTATGTACTTCTTTGGGTGATGTATACTGGCAAACTCTACATGTATATGTACAAGTATTTCATGGTTGTGGTGAAGACACCATTCATTGTCCAATATCACAGACTGGCACTATCCTTTCAAATTACTGTTAATTTCGGTTCTTATAACTTATAGAATATCAGCATCATGTTTTTAAATATTTCATAATATTAAACCAATATTTATGTCATCATTTAGGCTTACCTGACCCAGTCCTCGCAGTTGTATCTCGAGACAGCTATCCCATCTCTAGGAGATGTGTTCTGCATTGCAGAGTCGTTCAGAGCAGAACAGTCAAGGACAAGAAGGCATTTGTCAGAGTAAGTTTGTCTCTCATTGTTTCCACATCTTTGCAAACGCATCGAACATAACATGTCGTTAATTCTAACTATTTCCTCTGTTCACCAGGTATACTCATGTAGAAGCAGAATGCCCTTTTATCACATTTGACGATCTTCTAGACAGACTTGAATATTTGGTAGGTACTGGCATTTTCTTTTTGAAAGGCTGGTTTGATGTTGTAGCACGATTGTGGCGCGAAGCAAAATTGGACTGAGCTGAGACGAACTCAGTTTGACGACTGCGACATCACAATGTAGAACACTAATGACAAATTCYTCTCAGAAGTTTCGTTGAGTCGATTAAGTATTTTCTAATGCAAAACTTTAYCTTTGTTGGTGCTGTTTTCAGGTATGTGATGTTGTCGATAGAGTCCTCAAGTCTCCCTATGCAGACCTTCTTTATGAAGTTAATCCTGTAAGTAACACTCTCTTATTTAACTAAAGTTGTAGAAATTCAATGTGTAAATCTTGTTCATTTAATCTATGATTTGTATCGATGCAAAGTTGGATCTAGCTGAACAGCATTACATTGTAATATAGTGTACATTGTTATATCATGGCAACACAGTTACTAAAAAAAGTATTATTTTTATTTGAACAGGACTTTAAGCCACCCAAAAGACCATTCAGGTAATAGARACTCGCTACTGCTGTGTCTTTTTTCCAGATAGAGTCTTTGTGATATTGTTTAGTGTGTAGGTATTTTATTTCATGTTCAATCTCTAGTGAAGTACTCAACAGTCGTTTTTTTTCCCTCTTGTTTAGGCGAATGAACTACGCCGATGCCATTACATATCTAAAAGAACATGATATCAAGAAAGAAGATGGGACCTACTACGAGTTTGGAGAGGTTAGTATAAAAGACTACTGTTTATTTGATTTTTTCAATAATCGCCCTCGAGGAACACAAACCTGGCCAAATGACTTGAAACATAGGGTCAGCCAATAAGATCAAAGGTAGCTTAGGCGGCCCAACATTTGTCGTGAGAATCCCTACTCTTCCACTGAAGAAGTCGAGGAGAGCTGGCTCATTTGATATGCATATATTTTCAGGATATTCCAGAAATGCCTGAGCGAAAAATGACCGATCAAATCAATGAGGTCAGTATCGTCCGAAATATTCCACCAAACTCATCGATAAAATATTTAAATTGAATGTTCATTTCTAGCCAATCCTGCTCTGCCGATTTCCACTGGAAATCAAATCATTCTACATGCAGAGGTGTCCAGAAGACAGACGACTTACTGAATCTGTAAGTATGCTTGTATTGATTGCCACGTTCACCCATAGACGCTTTTTATTTGTTTAAAACACTATAAGCGCTCGCATTAGCAGAAACGACCAAAAGAAACGACAAAAAAGCAAGTTCAAGCGAGCACCGACAGTTTGCACCATTATGCTTCTCGAGCATCTGTTATTGTTATGATTTACACCAACATACTTCTAGTATCCAAATATCACCATAAAACGAAGTAAGATGGTTGAAAATTCTAATATTATCGTTTAAAGTGCTTAGAAAAGTGAGATGGTGAGAGATTCGAAACGCACAGTACAATTTATAGACTTTCGGTAAACTGAAAATGGCAGCCCGAGGGCCCCAAAGCATAATGGTGCACGCTGGGTCTTTAACAAAAACATTATTTATCCATGTAATTCATAAATCTATCGTTTCTTGTGCATGGTAATGTTGCGATGGTAACCGGCTCGAAAAACCGACTTGATAACAATTGTGTTATCAGAGAAGTTATGTGTTCTAATGCTTGTGATATGATTAGGTCGATTTGTTGATGCCTGGTGTTGGTGAAATCATCGGAGGATCCATGAGGATGTGGGACTATGTAAGTAAAATACTGATTTATAAAAGACTCGATGGAAAAATCGTTGGCAGTTGCACAGTAGGAAAGCAAAGTCATTGTACATACTTTGTTCCGTTGCACGGAAACTTGTGTTCGATCTTGATGGTAATAAAAGGCGTCGAATTCAAGACGCGTTCAAACAGGAATCCTGTACTGGATTTAGTACTCGGATGTAAGGTTTGGACTTTGTGCTTGTAATACCCGGATTTCTGCCTGGGTACCAGTAAAAATGTTATGTTCGCACTTCTGGCCAGATATCTTGCCCGTAGATCTTGCTTGTGCAACAAGTAAAAACAATGCCATAGAAGCGACGAAAAGCACTCGTAGCTAGAGTATGGTGTATATAGTTACATGTATTTCAAAAAAGGTTGTCGGATAAAATGGCGAATGTCAATTGTCGGACGGCGATTGCACGACCGAAAGTAGTCATGGGTTTTTCTAGTTGAAAGGCAATAATAACTGATTTGTACTGTAAGATGGTCTGTGGTAAACATTGATATCTCGTCTCTATTTCTACGTAACGTTAATCCAATAAGTGAGATTTTGTTTATCAAAACAGTGTAACCACAGTCCMTTTCGGTCGTGCAATCTCACTTCGACAATCACCGTTCGCCGTTCTCCCCGAAAAGTTTTTTTGAAAGAGCTGTATTTATTAGCGTCATTAATGCAGGCAGTCATAACTTCTAGTTGTCTTGCTAAATTACCTGTTTATTTCCTGGTTTTATTCAGAACGAACTGATGGAAGGCTAYAAGCGAGAGGGAATTGACCCTACACCATACTACTGGTTCTCTGACCAGGTAAAGTAACTGATACTTTGAATTTTAGCTGTGGGACGAGACGATACTAAGTTCAATAGAGGGCAAAATGAAAGACCTTGGTTTTGTCTCAAAGATTGAGATGCATTCTTATGCAAARCGTTAATAACAAYGTTTCATACAAAAATTCCTTTCTAACTTCGTCAAAAGAAGAAAAAATGTTAGAAATGTGATTAACTTCRACAATGTTTCATGTTCTTTTTTAGCGTAAATTCGGCACGTGTCCTCACGGTGGTTATGGACTGGGACTAGAAAGGTTTCTCACGTGGTTGCTGAACAGACATCATATACGTGACGTCACCATTTACCCAMGATTTGTTGGACGTTGCAGACCATGATTGACTACTGCCAACAGAAAAAAATGTTAAATCATAATATAGAATTTAATGTCGTAGCAATAGGCCTCGGAAGCTTTTACGCGACATACCGACAATGCATTGTAGGATATGTTTTTTTTTTCTTTGTTTTTTTTTTTTTTGTTGTTGTTTTTTTTGTCCAATTCTCCAGAAAGTGATCCCATAGTTCATTGCAAATCACGTAGGTGACGTATAAAAGCTTTTGAGTACTGTTCTTGTTTGTTCTAAACTTGGAAGTAAAGCACTATCTAACAATAATTGACGTTCAAAAAAATGTCAGTCATTTCTTCATGCATTTGCGGAGCCAGCAACGGGAAGTGCACTTTTGTGTCAAAAGACTACATTTATTTTGGAGCCCCGGTCAAATGAGAAATACTGGACCAAACAACACCACCAAAACTTATCTGGTGGCCATCATTGTACGGTTTAGCCACCTTGTTAATAGTATTGGATGATTTTAGATGGAGCGTCAAACATGTTGAACGGAGTTTGAAGAGGTATGGCCACCAGATATGGTTGATGATCCGACAATTGTGTTTGGTGATCAAGTACGTCTCATTGGAAAGCTCATGAAGCTGTTTACAATAACAATTGTGTAATACAGAAATAATGGCACGTATTGTAATAATGAATAAAAGTATTGTCAAGTAATAGAATGTAAGACGAAACYGAATGTATCGTGAAAGGTGGAAGTTTTAACTTTAACAGGTTGTCATTGTTTTTTCAATGATACCATTGACCAGGTGACTGTATATGGTAACTCGCGATAGGTCGGGACCTGGAAAATAGGGTCCAGTCACAACTTATGTTAGCAAAATGTAAAAAAAAAATAKAATTAGAAGGATTTAGCAGTATTTGTATTTATTGGGGGAAAAACAGTCAAAAAGGGAAACCTGCACAACTTGTTAGTAGCGTAGCCCAGACCGGAAAAAAAGTTGTTTTCATATACAAGACCATTCTCGTACCAAAATCCTTCTCAGTTTCCCAGAAGCAGCTTAGCTTAGGTCTGCCCCCCTTTTCTCGAATRAAATGATAATGCAAACTTAGGAAATAGTAAATTATTGGGTAAAAAAATCGAAGATTCACGTAATTAGTCTTGGTAATGTATCTCTTAATTATGTGAATAGCTTTTAGGTTATTATAATACCTACTTCTAAATGTTAGCTCTAAAAAAAAACACCCCCCAAGGACTAATTGTTGAATGGAGTTTGAAGACGTTTGTTTAACAAATTTGTTTGATGATCCAACATTTCTTATTTAGCTGGTATTAGTCCAATATGAAGTTACTGTCGATGATACCATAATGCATTGCAAATCAAATAGGTGACGTATAAAACTTTCAGAGGTCTATTGTCTTACAGTCCGATGAATACTTCTTTAAATCTTCAGTGTATTATTTCAGAATTTATTTATTTCAAATTCTGAAATATTTTTAAGTAAACTATCATGCACAGCAATAGATATAGAGACTATGACTGAACTTCTGTGTTTCCGCTAGAGTACAAACATTAAAYGTGTGCAACACTTTCCAMTATTTACTACAAAACAGTGTTAATTAAACAATAGAAAACAATAGAATTAGCATAATTGAGCAGTATTTAGTGGTATTTGTGTTGCACAGTTTTAGTGTTTGTACTCTAGTAAACACGGGGCTTACGTCATCGCCACTATGTTGGATGACGACATAAAGTATTCCTCGTCTTTCTCATTAGTTTCGCTTGTTCAATAATCAGCGATAGCTTTGCTCTTTTACTCTGGAGGGATTTTGATCATGTGTTTGAAACGCAAGAATAATCACGGCGCTTACGTTACCCGTGAAGAAAGGGCCCGCACCTTGAAGCATAAGTCAACCAATCAACGATCAATATTGAAATTATTGATATTGCGAAGCGTCTAGACCTTTTAGAGCACTGCTGTTTATTCGCAAGTAGGTTTTATTTGTCTCGCATCGTTTCAGTGAGTCGACAACAAAAACACTCAAAGAAATAATCCAGTATTTCAAGACARCGGCAGCATCGAATATTACTACCACTGATAAAAGACTGTGAAACGAGGTATTTATCAAACAGCAGTTTTTAATTTTATTACSGATACAGCACCCACTATGGACAGCAGTGATCAAATACTTAGYGGAAAGATACTTAAATTTTTCACTTCGCTTAAAAAACGTTAAATGATAATTGAGGGCCTGAAACTTCATAATTGAAGTTGTTTTCTTAGTCAACTTTGTTTTTAGGATCGACAGCTGTTGTGAAATATTCAATATTATAGGCCATACTTGATATTATGTGCCTTGAAAATGTGTACTGCTTCAAATAGCCTTAACATATAGTAATTTTTACCTTTATCAAATGGAATTGAGTTGTTGTCACTTTTAAAARCCTGCTTTTTTTTCTTAGTAACCAATACAAACGACTACGAGTCACTTATCGATCTGACCATCCGCCATTTTGGATTTTGATTTGATTTTTCCTGGGGGGAGGGCAGGTAACTAGMTAAACATTTTACAGATAAATGTTTTATATCAAAATGATAATACTAATAGATAGTAATAACTTAAGGTGTTGACAACTTTTAAGAAGCTTATAATTTAAAGTTATACTTTTCATTACTGTAGATTGACATTGATGACCATTGATATATTTTTACATCCGATGGCCTCTGGTGGGAGGGGATAGTAGAAATAGTAGTGCAAATAATATTAATAAGTATACTTTATTTCTTAGTGAATTCAATGCATTAATGATAGGCGATAACAAATGGATATAATTTCAAAAGACTAGCAAGAAAGCATAGATTTTTACATACTGAAAAATTCTAATCTATTTCAAACATGAGTAATATCTTTAAAAATTCATATCGACAATAATTTACATAAATATGAGACAGTTCAACAGCTAAAGCGGATTTCGTATGACTGTGCACGGCACGCATCACAACACGGTCACGGCACGGCACGGTCACAAAACGTCGCCTTCTAGGATTCCAAATGAAAATAAAGATTTAACAATACATCACCGCTACGCCACGGTACGGTCACAGCGCGAAGTAACAGTGTTTTTTTTTTTTTTTTTTGCACAGTCATACGAAATCCGCTCTATCTAGTCTCTGCGTGAACCAGAGGTTCATGGGTGGCACGGGTGGTCTAGTGGTTAAGCTGCTGGCCTCTCACCGCTGTGGTCCGGGTTTGATCGATTCCCGGGCACGGACCACATGTGGGTTTGAGTTTGTTTGATGTGTTGTTCTCTCCCTTGCCAAGAGGGTTTTTCTCCGAGTCCTCCGGTTTTCCTCCCTCAGTAAAAATCAACCTGTGAGGGGTTTTGTGTGCTAAAATACTTAATGTAGAGATAGTGAGTGTGAGGGTACAGGGTCCGCAGTAATTGGCTCAAGCTGTTGCGGTGTCCCTGTCCAACTAGGGGTAAAGCTTTAAAAGAACGGACGCAAAAGACCTGCAAACTTAGCACTTTTTCGCAATCAAAAATGACCAAATTTGGCCCCAGCCATTTTCGATCTTTCGACTAATGTCATGTGACCGCTTTAAAGTAGAACGACTAAATAATGCCTATTTGTTTACTTGCATAAGACTACCATTCACCATGCAAAGTTTGAGGTGGGGTTGTATCGCGGACCATTTCTGAAAATACTCGAACCTTACGCGGAACGGCTCTTAATAATGACAGCCAGTATCGAATTCTAAATAAAACATCTTTTTCTTTCTTAGSTTTCCAAACCAAGCAAAACAAGTTTTAGTGCTCAGCAGAAATGATGGTAATGGAGTATTAAGAAAGTCAACTCCAGCTTTATTTTCATTTGTGTATATGCCGTTTGTGAGAGGGTTTCTGCCTGAAATACATTGACCATGGATCAGACAAGTATTAGCCTTCTCGAAGAACATTTAGCAATGGCTACTTACTTTGGCCTGCATGACAGCCAGATGATGCTCTTTCAACAGTTGGGAAATTGCTATCATGCATCAGGAGAATATCGCAAGGCCATTGAATATCATGAAAAGAGTCTTAGCATTGCTAAAGACATTGGTAACAAAATAGGCCAAGGAACAAGTTACTCAAGCTTAGGAAATGCCTATAACTCCTTGGGACAATATGCGGAAGCAATTGCACATTTTGAAAGGGGCCTTGATGTTGCTAAAGAGATTTGTAACAAAGCTGGAGAAGCAATCTGTTTCCACAACTTAGGAAATGCTTTGGGCTCAATAGGAGAGTATCATAAAGCTATTCGAAATCTTGAAGAAAGCCTCCGAATCAAAATAGAGATTGGTAACCGAGCGGGAGAAGGAAGAAGCTATGAAAGCTTAGGAAATGCACATCACTCCTTGGGACAATACCACAAGGCCATTGAATATCATGAAAAGAGCCTTGGTATTGCTAAAGAGATTGGTAACAGAGCGGGAGAAGGAAAAGCTTACAAAAGCTTAGGGAGTGTCCATGACTCCTTAAAACAGTACAAGACGTCAATTGAATACTATGAAAAGGGTCTTGACATTGCTAAGGAGATTGGTGACAGGAAAGAAGAATCAAGCTGTTACAGAATCTTAGGAAACGCCTATCTACCATTAGGAGAATATCAAAAAGCAATTGGATATTGTGTAAAGAGTCTTGAAATAGCTAAAGAAATTAAAGATAGAAAAGAAGAAGGAAGTTGCTATGGAATCTTAGGAAACGCCTATCTACCATTAGGAGAATATCACAAAGCAATTGRAWWTGGTGAACRGAGCCTTAGAATTGCCAAAGAGTTCGGTGACTTTGAAGAAGAAGCAAGCTGTTATGAAATYTTAGGAAATGCCTATCAGTCATTAGCAGAATATCACAAGGCCATTGAATATCAAGAAAAGAGCCTTAAAATTCATAAAGATCTTGGAAACAGGGAGGGAGAAGGAAGCTGCTGCGGAAACTTAGGAMGAATCTATGAGTCATTAGGTGACTATCACAAGGCATTTCAGTATCATGAAAAGAGTATTGATATTGCTAAAGCCGTTAATAACAGAGTGGGAGAAGGAATCAGTTACGGAAACTTGGGAAGGGCCTATCAATCACTTGGGGAATATCACAAAGCCATCGAATATCATGAAAAGAGCCTTAGCATTGCTAAAGATACCAGTAACAGGGAGGCAGAGGCAAGCTGTTATGGCAACTTAGGAAATGCCTATCAGTCACTAAGGGATTATTGCAAAGCAATTGAACATTATGAAAAAGCTCTTACAATTGCTAAAGACACTAGCAACAGGGCAACTGAAGGAGAACTTTACGGAGATTTAGGAAGTGTTTATTACTCCATGGGRCAAACTSTCAAGGCAAATAGTTATTATGAAAGAAGCCTTAGCATAGCCAAAGACATTGGTAACAGRGCAGGAGAAGGAAGAAGATACACAGACATAGGAAATGCCTACGATGCTACTGGACAATATCCCAAAGCCATCGAATTTCATGAAAAGAGCCTTGATATTGCTAAAGAGATTGGCAACACGGCTGGAGAAGCAAGATGCTACGYAAACTTAGGAAATGTCTACCAATCAACAGGTGAATATCACAAGGCCATTGAATGTCATGAAAAGAGTCTAAGAATTGCTAATGAGATTGGTASCAGGGAAATAAAAGGAATCAGTTACGGRAACTTAGGAAATGCCTATAGCTCACTAGGAGAATATCACAAGTCCATTGGATATCATGAAGAGAGCCTTAATGTTGCTAAAGAGACTGGTATGAGAGAAGGAGAAGCAGACTCCTATGGAAACCTAGGGAATGCCTATCAGTCATTAGGTAATTACCAAATGGCAATTGAATATCACGAAAAGAGCCTTAGCATTAAAAAAGAAATCGGTTGCAGAGCGAAGATAGGAAATAGTTACATAAACTTAGGAAATGCTTATGACTCCTTGGGAAATCATCACAAGTCCATTGAATATCATGAACTTAGCCTTAATATCGCCAAAGCCCTTGGTAACAGAGAAGGAGAAGGAAGCAGTTATGGAAACTTAGGAAATTCTTATCAATCACTAGGGGAATATCTCAAGGCAATTGATTTTCATGAAAAGTGCCTTAACATTGCTAAAGAGATTGGCAACACTGCGGGAGAAGGAAGAGGTTACGGAAGCTTAGGCGATGCCTATCAGTCATTAGCACAATATCAAAAAGCARTTGAGTGCTATGAAATGAGYCTGAGCATTGCTAAAGAAATTGGCGACAGAAAGTGTGAATCAACTATCTATCATAACATTGGTAAGACGCTAAAGCCAAACGTTAATTATAGATGTAGGAGAGGACAACTTAAGAGGAAATATACCTTCCTTATGTCCCAGCCATATGTAAATAACAAGTGGTTATACCAGTGAGCGCGGTTTTTATAGTGAATTCAGAAATTATGATTTTCCCCATGAGGAGAGATGGTTTTAATTAATTTTCCCAGGAAACCGCAAATTTCCTAACTAAAAATAACCGTTTCCAGGGGAGCTAGAGAGTCTAAATATTGATAAAAGTCAGTGTTCATTTCTATTAGTGGATCGTGAAGAAAGTGTTTTGTCCCAGTTAGGGATAAGGGAAGGTCTACAATTTTTTGCCAGAATCTCAGTTCAGAATCCCATTCCCAGAAAAWAATTTWAATAAGTACTGTTATTTARWARAAGAGACTTTGAGTCGGCTMCTCCTGTAGAGGGAGCATGTTTTACAGGGGCCAAGGGAGTCCCCAAAAAATTATCCATTTCGGTTTTCTTATGATATTCTGTATATTTAAAGCATGCATATAATTTTATCCATAGGAGTTTGCTACGCATCTGAATCTTCATTTAAAGACCACAGAAAATCCGAAGCGCACCTCAAAAACAGTATTGAATGCCATGAAAAACTGTTTGATGACTTAAAAGAAAAAGACCAATTCAAGATATMTTTTCTAGATACTTATATCCAMAGCTACAAGCTTYTTAGCGAAGTTCAACTCCAGATGAAACAGCTCGAACAAGCTCTGCTGGTGTGTGAACGTGGACGAGCCCGTTCTTTAAGAGATATCTTACGYGTGAAGTACAACTCGACTATGAAACCTTCATTACATCAGAGATCACTAGATCTGGATGATGTTAAAACAATCTCTTCAAGAAGTGGTGCCTGTATTCTTTTCTACGATCTTCACTGTAATAAAGTGAGTGCTCGTTTTTGGATTATATCTTCGGAGTCCAACTCCATTTCTGTTTACGATGAGATTGCCGAGCGAGAAGCTTTGACAAAAATAGAATCGAATCTATCAGATGAAGATTTACATAGCATTGGAAATGGACTTGTTCAAAACCTTGTTGAAAAGGCCTTTCCCATAATCAAAGGTCGCGAACAAATAAGATGCGAGGATCGATCGCTGGATTCTCTCATGAGTAATGAAGTGGAATCTGTGCCCTCCAAAACCGCTTCAAAACCAAGTGAAACTGCGTCCGAGAATTACAGAGAAGTTATGAGATGGATATACACGGTTGAAGACGACGAAAAGCCAGTAGAGATGCTGTTTGATAGATTTCTCTCTCCAGTGCTGGATAAGCTAACTACTGAGGAAATTGTCATTATTCCTGATGGCTCTCTGTTTATGGTGCCATTCGCTGGTCTACAAGATCCAAAGACGGGTAAGTTTCTGTCTGAAACCAAACGCCTTCGCCTGGCTCCTTCTCTGACGACTTTAAAAATTCTACAAGAGTCTTCAGATGATCACCACCACAAGGTTAGTACTAATTTTATTTGAGAACCCGTCCACAGAGGCATGGAATGGATGGAGAGTGAAGAGAGTTTTTTAGCGCGTGGTCAAAAAGAAATCAGAACTAAAAGAACAAGTAGTGGAATGTGTTGGATGAATAAATAGATAATAAATAGTTTCATGCATTTTAATTGTTAATCTATTGATACTTACAATGCCCATTTATTGATTGCTTGCTTTCTGGATCTTTTTATTCCATTTTATCTATTTTTAATTAGTCAGGAGCACTGATCATTGGAGAYCCTGCTGTCGGACAAGTCATGTATAGAGGGATAAAGAGAGATATCTATCGTTTGCAAGGTGCAATGATTGAAGCTTTRGAAATAGGTGAACTCCTCGGAGTAGAACCTCTGATAAGAGAGCAAGCAACAAAAGAAGCAATCCTAACAAAACTGCAACATGGTGTGTCTGTCATCCACTTTGCGGCTCATGGTAGCGCGAAAAACGGAGAGATTTTTCTTGCTCCATCACAACCTTCAACAGACAACACCATACCAGAGGAGAAGGACTACATGTTGACAATGAAAGAAGTACAAGAGAGTGGAAGTCGTGCCCAACTCGTTGTGCTCAGCTGCTGTCACAGTGGTCGAGGAGAGATCAAGTCAGAGGGAATCGTGGGAATGACTCGAGCATTCCTGGCTGCAGGAGCCCGTGCCGTGGTAGCGTCATTGTGGGCAATTGATGATCAAGCTACTAGGTTCTTTATGGTGAAATTCTATTCACATCTAAAGAGAGGAGAGAGTGCCAGTAGGAGCCTACAGCAAGCAATGAAGGAGATGAGAGAAACAGAGATGTACAAGGAACCAAAGTACTGGGCTGCCTTCTTCCTCATTGGAGATGACGTCACCATCGATTTGTAATCAAACATTTGCTGGTGCTTGCGATTTCTCATTTAAGCATAGTKTGGGTTTTTATCTAGTTAACGTTGTTTCCATAAAGGGGAGCACACGTTAACGTCATTCGTAAGTTTATAGCAGTTTTAGGTCTGGTGTATGACACCACGCATTTTATAGATAGATAGATTTAGCATGTTAGCATGATTTAGCATTTTTATTCAGATAAATTTGAATTACAGGAGAGTCAGCATCATCAATTTAACTGATCACAAAAGGAATGGAAACAAGTCCTAAAGGTAGTGCAAGAGTTTAGATTGCAAATAGAGTGTACGCCACATAAGTGTGAAACAATTCTTAACTAATTAGCGCTTGATAAGGTTTAGTTATCAACGGTCTAAAGGCTGATTTACACGGTACGATTTGTCGCGCGCGACTTGTAGTATACGACGTGAATCGCGCAGTGTAAATGCCCCTGCGAGTTGTCTACAACAGTCGTACGCAACCTACGACTTGTAGTAGGATTTTGAACCATTGCTTAAAATCCAACGACTTGTAGTAGGAAAATCGTATACTACAAGTCGCGCGCGACAAATCGTACCGTGTAAATCAGCCTTAAGAATTCAGTAMGGCATAAACAAAGGCAATTTCCTTTCTGGTATTGTGTTCATGCCCCAGTGAATTCTTAGTTAGTTGATAACTAAATCTTATTAGTTGTTGATTATTAAGAATTGTTTCACGCTTATGGTGATTCCATTCACATGAAATAACTAAAATTTGCTAGTGGTMAACAATTGGTCATATTCTGTCTTTTTATATGGTAAGTTAAATACGAACATTATTCAATTCCTGATTTCAGTTTCGGTTTATATTATATGCATGTATTTTGTCGAGTTTATCAGCTTTTAAACATTTATTAACGCACAGCACATTATCATGAAAACTGATTGCATTGATGTAATACATTTTATTAACTCTGTTGCCTATGAATAAATAAATTCTATTAGCGAAAAAGCGTTAATAAGCCATTTACAACAAAGGCGATGCATTACTTATAATCACTAATAATATCCTATAATAACTAACGACCAAAACTATTATCCTGGGGACTGGACTCCA